TGCACTTCCAGGCACGTGGTGGCGGCGACGCGTGGCTGTTAGTGCGCGCATTGTACGTATGTAGCTTGTGCGTGGGTGCGTGGGGCTAGTTGCTTGGGGGGGGGGGGGGGGGGAAGGGGTTTTATCAGTACATCTACTCTATGCTATTAATCATTTCATATCGTGATTGGGTTTGGGTGTTCTGGATGAGCGAGAGATATAGAGGGGGTTTGCATTGTCCATAGGGAAATATTTACACTTCAATTCAGTGAATAGTAGCATACGGATTCCTCATTGTTCTTTTCGTCCGTCTTCCCCGAATCCCATGTCTATGGTCCCTGGGTCGAGCGATAACCTCGCATTACGCTTGTTTGACTTTCCCATGTTTTCTTTCTTTTCTTTTCCATTGAACTTTTGGGAGGGCCATGTGCGACGTCATTGTTGGATCATTGATGTTACGAGGGAGAACTCCATGTTTCACACATACGTATGTATGTAAACCTGCCGGGCTAAGCAAGAACCGGGTTTGTTTGGACCAGACGTTCTTGTTTTTATTGTATATGTGCATATACTGGTACATTACCTGTTTCACATGGTGGTTTTCGGGAATGATTACACGTGTAGAGGCATAACGCTAAAGTGGGTGCGTGCATGTCAACAAACTTGGGTTTCGCCAAGACAATGTCATCATGTTGATAACAGGACATGAGTGGACACAGGAATTTAAGGTTGGAAGGATATGTTGGTATTGCTAGTCGTCATTCGTAACAAATGGATCTCGCGAGGTAAATGCAGAGGAAGCCACGTGAAGTCATTGTTTCATGTTTTGAGGTGTGATTCTTGCCATTACTATCGCGAATGTTGCATGAGCTGTAGTAGCCCTTCTGCAGCATCGCCTTGTACCCCGATGCTATTTGAAAGCTCATCTCCCATATATTGCTCCTGCTTCAGACGTTGCAATCTTTCTCGTGCAGACTCGCCTGCCCTATACTCATCACTTCGTATCCCTAACTCAGCAGTCATCTGGTAGTGATCTACATGTCGAGCCGGTGATATGAGTTCTTCGGGTGTAGCGGATTTAGGCAACTCAACGACAGGAGGTGAGGAAGTGATGTCATATTGTTGCAAAGTACGCGACGAATTCATACCACCGGGAGGCAGCGCAAACTGGACTGGAGCGGGCCCGAGTTTGCTAATAGGTCGAAACGGGTCGAGATTCGCTTTCACAAAGACTGGTCCTTGGTCGCGTTGGGGTGAAGATATGGTAATGTTGGGGACGCGGCAAGTGCCTTGAGATTCACCAGAGTAGGTCGTGGCTGTTGACCTCGACGCGTTGATCGTGTTGGATGAATACAGGGCACTGGCCTCGTATGGGGCAATAATATCCACGTCACGCTTATTGACTTGATTTGTCTTGACCTTATACAGGCCAAACTTGAGGCGCGTGCGCAACTGTTCCGCCCGTGACTTGGTCTTTGTCTCTGCAACTGGTGGGGCAGGCGCTAATGCAGCTGGACGTTCTTGCTCTTTGCCTAGGTCGCTCTTTTGGCTGGCACACATTTCATAGTTGAGAAAGTCAGAGAAGGACTGGTTGCTCTTTTGAGATGCTTGGATTGGCTCCGTCTCAGGCTCAGGCTCGGGTGAAGGCGAGGGCGTAGCGCGTTCGGTAGGCGATCCGGGATCTGCGAGTCCAATTGGGTTGTTTTCCTGTGAGAACTGTCAGTCATATGAAGAGGCAAAGAGCGTGGTGTACTAACAGTGTGTTTTTGTATCGCGTCGGTAGTTAAGCGCACACCGGCGTTTGAGGGGCTGTCGTCGCGTGCATGAGCAAGCATCTTTGCACTTCCAACTGTCTCGGCACCGTCGACTTCTTCTATGCCCCGCTTCTTGCTCCTGACGGTCGCATTGGGCGTTGTCAGGTTTTCCTTGTCGACAAAGTGGACTGGCGTGTTTGGGGTAACGTGCTTCAGAGGGCTTTCGGCTCGTGGGGCTTGTGATGGTTCATATGCCTTTGTCTGAGTTTGGGGCGTATTTAAGGCCTTTGGGGTGATATTGCCCAGCACACGTCGCGAGGGTGTTTGCGAAGGTGTGTGGTAGGCGGCCATGGTCGGTCTATGTGGCGTTGTGGCGCTCATGGTGTTGCTGCTGCAGTCTTCCGTATCCTGCGACGCGTTGATATACCAATACAGGTGACGCGTGGGGTTGCGGTATGATGGTCAGAATGGGGCGACTGGATGTGACTGAGGGACGACTTGCACTGTATCCCAGCCACCGACAGCAAGGAATCAAAATAAACAATGTATTTCCAGATGATAGTGCGGTAGTAGGCGCGTCGGGGTTGGGGAGGGCGTATCACGGACACGAACCGACGCGATTGGGGGAGGGGGGCATGTCAGGGTCCAGTCCAGCTTGGCGGGATTGCAGCCTGGCCCAACTCTCTCTCTCTCTCTCTCGTCTTCGTTTCGACTTCATCTCCGTCTTCCTCCTCATCGTGTGTTGATGACTGCAGTCTTATTTTCCAGGAAAGAATTCACACAATTGTCATTGGCAAGAACGAGATGTCGGGTTGGGTCGCTCCCAATGGTGCTACGGTGGCCCCAAAGCTAATTCTGAGTAATACCTCAAACATGTAACCATTAGGTTATCAGACGCCTACACAGGACCACCTCTACTCTGGGCAATTGCTCTCAGATGTGATCAATCTCGCAAACAAAATAGTTTCTCGACACTGGCCTAAAGATATCAAGTCAGCCAAGCAAAAAGTAGTCGTTCCCCACATCGTAGTAACAGGGGGACAACTTGCCGGACAATGGCCATTCGCGATAAGATAAGTAGGGCTTTTAGTAGTCCCACTGCACCTGCACATGTACAACGCGCCAGCCTACGGGTCTCCAACTCTCCACCTTACGTCATCTTCAGCACACCAACGCGGTTACTCGGCACCGCCATGTCTCGGTTCCATGCACGTACATGCCAAACCTACACTCCTGTTCAACTGGCACTTCTGTCAGAGCCTGCCTGATATTCTGCGTCCCAATACAAAGCCTACCGCTGCTACAATCGTCTTATTTGGAGCAAAGCAAGCTTGACCATCCTTGCATGCATGCTATCTAACAATTGCTCCACTTTTTCACAATGAGAGGCTTCCTGCAGAAAGCCAAGTCCGAGTTCAAAAACCTGACCCAGAACGATGCCGAGTCTGGTAATCCACACAATTCACATTACCAACATCAGACACAATGTCACCCTGTGCAGCACGCCAATGGACATGGGCCTGATAATCAAAAGCAGGGTATCACCGACCCTACCTCACTAGATATACTCCGTTATCGCTACCACCATGGCGCAAACCTTGGATCTGTCTATGTCATCGAGCGCTGGCTGCAGCACTCTCGGTTTCCTGAAGGCGCAGAGGGCTCCAGTGAGCTTGCAGCAGTCAAGGCATGGGTTGACAGAATCGGCGTCGATGAGACAAGAAAGAAGTTTGGAGAGCATTGGGCCAATGTTGTTTCCGAAAATGCCATCGGATGGCTCGCTAACGTAGCCAAATGTACCACCGTTCGCTTACCCATCGGCTACTACGACTTGCCCGGTGCAGTCTTCACGCAAGGCACGCCTTTTGAACCCTATGCTGATATCTACACTGGAGCATGGGACAGCATTCGCAATCTCATCCAAAGGCTGCGCCAGCGCTCGATCGGAGTTCTGATCGATCTACATGCCCTTCCAGGAGGCGCAAATGCGCAGGAGCATTCTGGGACAAACAGTGGGTGTGCTGAACTCTGGGGTAACCCTTTCAACCGTTCTCTAGGTGTTCGTTGCTGCCAGTTCATTGCTGAAGACACAAAGGCTGGAGCGGAGATTGCTGGAATACAGCTCGTCAACGAGGCTGAGTGGGAGTGTGAACGCATGTACGAATGGTACGATGAGTGTATAAGCGCTGTATCTGCCATTAATCCCGAAATGCCTGTCATCATATCGGATGGCTGGAATTTCTCAAAAGCTATCGATTGGTGTCTCCAAAAGAACTCAATCTACTCTTACCCGCAGTGCCCGGTCGTCGTTGACACGCACTATTACTGGGCCTTTACAGATGCCGACAAGGCCAAGTCGCCACAGCAAATAATTCAAGAGGCTGGTACCAAAATGGGAGAGCTGGACGGTAAAGAAGGCGCAGTCCATGATCGCGGCGCTGTTCAGGCCATTGTTGGCGAGTACTCATGTGTCATGACTGAGGACTCATGGGCCAAGGGTGGTGAAGTGCCAAAGGAAGAGCTCGTGAGACAGTTTGGTCAAGCACAAAGCAAGAGGTACCAGGAGAGAGCTGGTGGCAGCTTCTTCTGGACATGGAAAATGGACTGGATGCCCGGCGGTGAATGGGGGTTCAAAGCTAAAACAGAAGATGGAAGTATCGTACCGCCAAATTACACAGCCATGTCCGCCGATCAGAGGCACGAGGCGGTTGAAAAGGCTCAACATGAAAAAGCAGGACTTTTCCAAAACGCTTTCCAACAACATGTGGCTTATTGGACCGGTGTAGATCCAAATGGCCACTACGAACACGAAAAGTACGAATACGGCTGGCAGGTTGGGTTCCAAGATGCGCTTGCATTTTTCGAGGGGAGAGACACGCGTGGGGACAAGATCGGTATGCTCGAAATTTGGATTTTGAAGCGTATCAGAGAGAGCGGATACAGGGGCGGCTTCACCTGGTTATTTGAGCAGGGTTTGAGGAAAGGTGTGCAAGATTGTCAATTCACGCTCGGCATCTGAGGGCATGGTGCATAGGTCATTTAGCCCCCTTTCACTCCCACTTCCATTTCACCTAGAAGCGACATTGTTCAGACATTGTACTATAGGCAACCCACAATGTGAACATAGTGAAACAATGATGGTAGTAATATGTGCTCATAGAGATAATTGACCCTGTGTTAATCTTCGGGTGTATCGTCACATCAACTCCATTCAACAATCTCAACTATCCCTATTTCTTTCTTATCATTTGACAAGACCCTCAAGTCATGGATCACAATCGACCCATGCACATCGACACGAATATAACCACACTGAATGAGGTGTCATCTCTGCTTCGCGATTCACCAGAAATTCGACCATACCAAGCATACTGCGACACAGAGACTTCATCATGTCCGTCAAGTCCAGAGAATCTTTCCCCAAGTCCGTTGCAAGTGATGAAGGTCCACCTAAAGCAGGCCGACATGAGTACTCAAGCCTCAGCTATCGACGCCTCTGAGCAAGAAATCTCCCTCACTCGAGTTGCGACATCCAGTACCGAGAAGCAAGTCGACTTTCCGAGATCATTTCCCGCGGGAAACCAAACTAGGAAACGCGATCAAGGGATGAACCAAAGCGGCTTCTTTGCAAGTGTTTCGTCAGCAACTTCGGGTCACATTCCACAACCTATCAACCCACGCGGCAGTCACTTACAAAGTGACGATGAGGTGACAGCGTACGACTCTGACCCGGCAATTACACGGGTGCAACTATCGACACAAATTGATCGTGTGACGGAACTTACTAAACCACGTAAGCCAGTTCCTGAGAATGGGGTAGAATTTGGGACAATCTATCGTCCTTTGCCTCAGGTACCGTTGGGAAAAGTCAAGGTCGAAATTCAGGACCAACCAGAATCGACATACGAAAATGGGTGTGTACAATGTCCGTCACAAACAATGGGCCCAGCAAACAAAAGGCTGGAGGAAAGCGACGGCGAAACATCTCTAAGAGGCCGCCGAGGTGTTGACGACGTCCCATGTATGCCATCCCCGAATCAGCCTAGCTGCGATGAACTTTCTGAAGCATTTTTGCGCCTCTTTCCGGAAGACTCGTCACTATCCCCCCCAACATCGCCATCATACAATGTAGATGCTCGACATTGTGGACCAAACGCACAAGCAGAACTCGGCGATACCCACACTCGACGTTTTCTGCCAACTGAGCCGGGTAATTCTCAGGGGAAAAGGAAAAATATAGAAGACGAGACCACCGCTGATAGCCTGGATCGATTTGAAGAAATAGATTTCGGATCCCCAAACGCCCAGCCACCTCGAAGGCCAGAACCCGCTTTCCAGACATGCTTCAATCAACATAGCGATGAACTCTTCCTCCAAGTTCCTACGTATACGCGACCGCACCCCGCATCCTCACTCCATTCCTCAACGGATCTACAAAATGGTCCGCGTCCACCCCCTTGGGGCACCTACGACAACCTCGCCCTGCAGCGCCGCCAACGCAACGAATTGAGAGGACGAATGCAGGGCGTCCCGAGAGACGTGGCGCGGGAACCTGCACTGACGTATCAACAGACGCTGTCTGTTGAGCTGAGGGGTGAGGGGCTGTCGAGGGAGGTGAATGAATATCGAGAGCAGATACTCAGTGTATATCCTGACATGGTGTTTGATGGGCACGCTGGGGATGTTGAGCGGAAGTGTGGGTGTTGTTCGATTATGTGAATCAGATAGGGTGGTGGTAGTATTTTTTTTTCAGAGGAATGAGGGTTATAGCATGGGGTTTGATGGGTGGAGAGGATGGAGGTTATGGTGTTGTTGAAGGAAGCGTATGCTGCTTTCTATAATTGGTGGAAACCGAGAAGCCGAGTCTTTAAACGAAAAGAATGGAGATATGATTTATGTGTTCCAGTGCTTATTTGATATATCAAGTTCAAATTAGAAGATTTTACGCAGATATGTATACCGATATCTAAATTTTGGTTGATAGTTAAGGAAAGTCTATATAAGTGCAGAACATGTCTTGTTGGTTGAAGTTGACACATCTTATGTGTATTTACATGCTGAGCAAACAATAGGAGTTTGCATGACCATTCAGTCCATGTCTAGAGATAATAATTCGTGATTCTAAGAAAATCTAAAACACTCCCTGCACATGATCATATCACAAACACAATTGTGCAGCAAAGATTGTGCGCTTCGATATATGCATTCCCAGCAAACCATTTAAATTATCGCGCGTCGTACATGCCCGCTCCACGTGCTGCAAAAAGCCACAAAGTGACGTATGCCGTGTAACAGTGTTATAGTTCTCCTCGGAAAAAAAACTTCACCCTCGAGGTGTCATATGCAACAGATTTCTTACTAGGCGCCCTGATAGAGCCGCTGTCAGAAATGTTCCATCGGTGATTACAGCATTGGTAGGATGCCTTTTCTCAACGATGAGAGTAACACGAGTTTAGATACATATGCCTTGACTGAGGCTTAGTCAATTAGGATTGAAAGAGATACAAGAAAGCGGGGTTACAAAAAACAGTTCCGGCATCGCATTCACTCATGCTCTAGTCTGCGCGCAAACTCTTTCGTTTGCTTTTATACCATTGGACGTAGGATACACCTTGCAGCCAACCCGTAGCGGCTCAGCCTCTCGCCCTCGACAGTCGGCACGCCTCGCCACAAAACTCTCGATATACTGGTCTCTGATATTTCCCAGATCCAACGAACGACAGCATCATGTCTACACACTTCCATCCGCGTCCGTCTACCTCTGCACCGCAAAGTCCCGTTTGCCCTGGCTCTGCTCGCCCAACCATCCGTGCCATCACGCCTTCGCCACCGCATGGCTTGAGCAATCCCATGAGCAAGAGTTGCAGTGAGCTAGAGAAGCCGAGTCAAGCGTCGCAAGGGGCGGCAGAACACCTCTTCATGCGGCCCAAGAGCGTAGAGATGCTGCAAAAGAATGTTCAGACCCGGCACGCACAGCAGGGCTTTCAAGGTGACGAAGTGGATACCAATGTGCCTGTACTGCGGCGAGGCGGCGCAGTAGCAGGCAGAAAGTCGCCCGTCAAGCGCAGACATCCGAGTAAGAGCCAGAGAATCAAACCATATAGTACGCCATCAGCAGCGTCGCTGCGGCATAGGATACTGATGGGAGATCGGAAGGACGGTAAAGAAGAAGAAAGTGGAGCCATCAAGCAGGACGCAAGCAAGCAACCCAAGCACCATGACCACAACGACATTGACATCTTTGCCGCCTGTCCCGATACACCCACGCCAATGACAGCATCGCAAAAGCGATTCGCATACCTCCCTCTCGGCACACCAACCCCAACTGTCTACTCCCAATCCGCTTCCAAACCGCGCTCCAGAACCAACGCAGCACCTCGTACCAAGTCCGCCCCAATCCTAGCCTCAAATCGCAACCGCCAGACTTCCAACCTCGGACACGGAAAACCACATCCTATCCATGCAACCAGAACACTAAATCACTCTGGCACGCGCCTAGGCCAGCGCAGTCAAGCAAACGATGAGACACAAGACCCGTCAAAAGTCGCGCCAAAACACTCACATTCTCACCGACCCCTCCATGTCATACAGCAGCAGCCTAACCAGCCCTCCGCTCCAGTCCCAGCAATTAAACGTGCCAGAGCACCCGGCCCGGCTCCCACTATACCTCTACCGCGTAAACCCCTGTCCGCTACGTCCAACATTTCCATTCACACCGCGCGCTCACACCGCAGCGTCTTTAGCACGTTGGGTCGCGACGAGTTGGAGCGGAAGAAGGCGGTGGTTGAGGAGGACGAGGGACCGTTTGGCGCGGTGGGGAGTGTGGCTGAGTTGGATGGGGCGAGGAGGAGTGTTAGTAGTGGGAAGGATGGAGGGGAGAAGGGGGGGATGTGTGGGGGGAAGGGATGTTGTGGCGTTATGTGAGATTTGTTTCTTTCTTGATAATTGGGGAAGGGGAAATCTTGGTGGATGGAGAATGAATGATGGTGTGGGAGGGGAGGCTTGTGGAGTGTTGCTTTTGTGGGTGGTCTGGGTAGAAGGTGATTAGGAATGGGGAGTTTGGGTTGCGGGCGAAGTGTATGTCATAATTAGTTAGTATAGTTAGTAAAATAATAGACAGAGTGTCATGAGTATCGAAGTACTGTGGAAGACCTGTTCATAAAAGAACAAAACAACTTCACTCAATTGCTAAATTACGCCATGAACGTATTTTTCCCTCGACTGGTTTATTGGTGGAACACACTCCTGGAAGCTATACAATACCTAAAATTGAACTCGTGGCAGCATGACTTCGCATCTAGGCCACTGCAAACCCCTATTTTATAGATGTCTTGAATACAAGAGCGAAAGCTGTTCTGAAGGTAGCCCACCCGAGAACTAGACGTGAAACCGGCAGCCCTTGGTCTTGTGCCAGACACCAGTGGTTCACTGAGCCTTGTGGGTTCCCAACCAAAGTAATCCTGATGCACATGACCAGCCGATGCAGAACAGTGCAGTCTTTCCCATGGATACAAGACTCCGATAGAATGTCGTAGAACTAGATGATATTTATTATGATGTTTGAAAGAGGTTCTTTCCACCTATTGACAATGCTACTGTAAGCGTCGACAGACGAAGAGTGCATCTCAAAGATTCATTCACAATGGTCGAAACCTCGCAGTCACTCGTAGGGTGTTGAAAAAGGTGAAGAATCAAACGTCAGGTGCAAAACCAGTGTGCTGAAATCTAGTTTCGCTTCTTGGACGATGGGTCGGAAGCATAGTCGAGAGCGGTAATAATGTCGGTACCAAAAACAGTGACCATGTACGCAGGGAAAACAATCCACAGGCCACTGTGGGGATGATCAGCATCATGTATGGAATGATATTCTTGGCAAGAAAATAGAGACTCACTTCATGACAATGTATAAAGAAATGAGTGTGAACCAGTCATTGTGACGAATGTTAGCGAAGTCGGAGAAGTACTCGTTGCAGTCTGTTTCTGTTAGTGTAAAATTTCCTAAACCACCAGTCCTGTATACATACAATACAATATTGTCTTGCTCAGTGTCATGACAGCAGCGGTGAAGCCAATGAGGACTGCGCGGTTACCGGACTTGCCTCGCACCTTGATGCCGCCGGCGAAGAAACCGCCTTTGTCCTTGCTCACCTCCACACCAGTGCCTCCAGCAGCTGGCTGACCGTGGTTATATACGGTCAGGGCATAGAGTCCGTACAGAATGAGTTCAATGGCATTAAGCACGCCCTGTGCTGATCCGAATCCATCATGATTTTCCCATCCGGGCCATCCGTATACGTAATCAATGGCCGCATAAGTTTCGTAGGGCGTCCACAGTGGCCATTGAATCGCGCCTCCAGCCATGGTGTGTGGGCGCAACAGGATGTATAGAGTATCCCAAAGCACGAGGGGCCATGATATAGACAGCCAGACGAGTGTCACCTTTGAGGCTGTATGGCACCATGCTGTTTCGCCAATTGCGGCGGGAGCAGGAGGGCTTATTTCGTCGAAAGCATTCGAGACTGCGCGTTTGGCCAGAGATGCTGCGCCAGATGGAGACGCGCTGAAGTCTGGCGGTGCCGGCGACGCGGTCGAGTTGCGCGATCGTGGCGTCTTCTTAGTAGGCGATGGCTCCGAGGCGGGGAAGTCGCCTTGAGGGCGTGAGCGCGTCGTCACCATTATGTTTTTTGGCGGCGCAAAGTTGCGAAAAAAGATGTCAAAGAGGGGATTACAGTTTTTGAATGGATAAAAGCAGCACAATGGCACGTAAGGCAGGAGGAATGAGGTGTTGCGATGATGCTACATATCTGTATAGCCAGCACCGAGCCAATGAGGGGTCGGGTCCGCGCTACCCGGCGGGCTAATTCATAACCTGAGAGAATCACCCGCCCTTTCAGCCAATATCATGCGGCACATGGTCTCTAGCGTCTTACCACAAATCTTAATTCTGTATCTTGTTACGCTTACCGTTGCGACTCGCAGGCCAGGGACTGCTCCCAACGCTCACTCCAATAGCTGATCTTTGGGGTGACAGAACAGCAAGACAAACTAAGAAAAAGACAGTTTTTTTCTTTGAATTAGCCTAGGCCTGGTTCACAGCAACCAATATTGACCATGTCGACTTCGAATTACACAATGCCCAGTCCTTCATATGGCCCATCTCCATTCTCTCCGCGAAGTCGTAAGAGGAACACCATGCGGCTCACCCCGGAAGTAGAGCCCGGCATACGTTCATCCCATTAGCGCGCGTAGGCACGACCACGCAGCATCTCCGCCTCGTCGGCTGTGACAGTCATTAGACCCGAGCCAGCCTCATCCAGCTTCTTCTTCAGTGACTGAGCCGTACGCTTTTCCCGCTCAATGCGCTCACGTTTCTCGGCCTCATTCTGCTGACGGCGCTGACGACGCTCGCTCTCGCGGGCATTCGCATACCTCTTCGCATAGCCTGCAAAATATGCATCAGCGGCTTCCATTGCCGTTTTGAGGCGATCGTGCGTCTCTAAGAACTCCTCAAACTCATCTACATCAGGGATGAGGCCTTTGAAGCGATCATGACAGAGGTGATTAACCATGCTAGTCCACAGGGGATCCTTGTCTGACGTGGCATTCTGCTCAATGATAACAATCTCTTCATAGCTTGGAAGTTCGCTCTTCAGGTAGGTGGTGTAAGCACCTAGGATATGCGAGCAGTACCTCTCCATACCTAACAAGCGAGCTGCACGTAAAACGGCGATGTCCTCGAAAAAGGTCTTCTGGTATGGTACAGCATGGGCCTCAAATTCGTTGCAAGCTTCACGCATCCACTTGATAAGCAACAGGCGGACGGCACCGGGGTTGATCTGGCTGCGCGAGAACCGGCACTCTAATGAGTTTGGGTGGTTAGTGAAGTGGCGGTGCAAAACAGAAGATGCAGCCATCGCGGAGCGCTTGTAGATGTCTGAGACAGATGTGTTGCCAATGTGGATGGTTATGCGTGGACCCGTGAGGAGAGCTTGACGCTGAGGACGGATCATCTCTAGAAGATTGTCATAGCACTGGTCAACAATGGCAATGGAAGAACCCTCAGAATACGACGGGTCACTAGATGCTTCGAGCGTGGAGACAGTCGATTTCAACAACTCTGATTCCTTGTGAGAGAGCGGGGGAGAAGGCAGTGTAGAAGAGTTAAAGGGGAGAACCACCGCCTTTGGTACTCCAGCTTCTGAGTCAAGCAATCCAGAAGACGTGACTGATTGAACACCCGGCTGGCTGGCCTTTTCCGTTGCGAGCTCTACCTTGGCAGCTTTTCCGTGGGATGCCTTTTTGGTTTTCTTCTTGGATTTTGGCAATTTCGCAGCGACCGGTGCCTGTTCTTGAGCTTGGTTGTCTTCAGGCTGAGTGGTTTTGATATCTGGTCGCTCGACATTCTTTGCAGCCTTATACCGACTGGCCTTTATAGCCATGTAAGGAGCTTGGCCTAGGCTAATGGGTAAGGGAACCCTATATAAATGTAAGTATCATGTTATACTGCAATGTACCAAGTGAACTTACTTGTCGTTAGGAACGGAGGCGTACATGACTCAGTTGATCGGAATTGTGTATCCTGAAAGATGAGTATATTACTCAAAAATTAGTGAATCGGCAGTAGAGCTGTTTTTTGTTTGTGTACGATGACCTGTGTTGTGAGTCCACGAATATAATCCAATTATTGATGTGGGTCAAAGACTTACCCTGCAAAGGAATGTGTGTATTAGGGAATCGTATCAATTTGACAAGAGTAACTAGTAGGCGAGGTTCCAAATTTTTGAGAGTCACTAAAGCACAGTGTAGTGACGAGCCAGTGAGCGCGACCTTTTCTAGGTGTGCAAACGGGAAAGAGCATGGACTGCACGTGATCCTGCAGCTACCCAGAGTACTAAGCAAACGGCGGCAGAGGGGACCCTGCAATGGAAGTGAATGAGGATTTATAGCTTGCGAAGTGTTTCTAAGTAGCAGCTCATTTTTCCTCTTTTTCAGTACATCAGTCCTGAGGCAATATGGTTTTTCAGACCTCAACTTCAACTGGCGTAGTAGCTGCTACTCGACAACAGTGCATACCCTACTTTACCATTAACTACTTGTCAAGCGTCACAAGAAATTTAAACACACAATGCTAGAGTCTAGCATCCTAGACTACACTTTCCTGCGCGCATCGAAAAGATCTGGCGCTCCCGCCAACTGAGGAAAAAAACAAACTAGCATTCACCGTGAAAAGGAAAACCCATGCGGCATAGGCTAGAGAACAAACAAAAGCAAGTCGCCCAACACCCTGCAGGTGTTTATCAGCGCGTCTCGGGCCGCTGCCGTACGTGCGCATCCGCACGAGCACATTTTTTATTCCCAAGTACTTGGTTTTGATCCCATTACCTATTCCGTACAGCGTTGCTCGATTTTGTGCAACCATCAATAAGAGATACAGTTAAACATATCACTGACATTGAAATCTCACTCCGGATACACCATTTTCCTCCCAACCCCCCCATCCACCACAATCTCCTGTCCCGTCACAAACTCATTCCCAATCACATACTCAACCGCCTTAGCGATATCCTCCACTTTTCCCACTCTCCCCGCAGGATGCCACGCCGTATCCTCATCCGTCAATCCTTCTTCCCACCCCACACCTTTCTCATCCGCAGCCTTCCTCTCGTTGACAACGTGGATCCACCCAGGGATAATCGCATTAACCCTGATCTTATGTCGGTGACCCAGCGATACACACATCGATTGAGTTAGCCCGAGCAGTCCGGCTTTTACGGCGGAGTACGCCTCGTGATCGGGTTCGGACTGGTAGGCGCGGGTGGAGGATACGTTGATGATTGTGCCGGGGGAGTTGGGAGTTGAGTTTCCTTTTGCGAGGAGGGGGACGCAGAGGCGGCTTAGTAGGAAGGGTGCTGTGAGGCCGATTGAGAGTTTCAGGTCCCATTCTTTTTCTATGTCTTCGCCTTGGGCTTCCATGGTGCGGTCTGAGGATATGCTGAGGTCGGTGGGGAAGGCGTTATTGATGAGGACGTCGAGGGTGCCGTTGAATTTTTGGTTCACTTCGTGAACAGCGGCTTTGAGTTGGGTGCGTGAGCTGAGGTCGCAGTGGAGGGCGTGCCAAGTTTCTTTTCGTCCGTTGGACCATTCTTGCGCTCGCGTTTTCACGTGGTCTAGTTCTTCTTTGTTGGAGTCGAGTATGATGACTTCGTGGCCGGCGGTCAAGAGATGGCGGAAGAGACCGCGCCCAATGCCTCGCGCGCCGCCAGTGAGCAACACCTTTAGGTGCTGAGGTGCTGCACTCATTGTTGCTTGTCCGCCTCGTGAGCTACTGCGGTCAGTATGTACATCTTTCATTGACGCATCTGTGCGGAAGGAGGAGTGTATGAAATGACGTCATCCTACAGATCGACCTGAGCACGATATTTCATCATTCCTTCTCACTGATTTCCAGCTTACAACAATAGATGGAGGAAACATCATGTTTCATAAAACGCAACTTGTACTCAACAATATATGGAATGTGATACTGCCCTGCTTTGTCAATCGAATCGTGTGGAACCAGTCACCAAACATTCAGCAGCACTAAGCACACAAGTACACGAATAAGGGCCAAATCAAAAAATAAATTATACAACAATAAACCACCTCTCCAAGAGAATCTTAATGGCCCCATCACTCTTCAACGCAACCGAATTCCCAAAACACATACATTTACAAAGAAAGGGTATATACTACAAATTTACAATCCCGAGTCGATCTGGTTGAGAGTCGTCGACGCGCTGTAGACATCCCATTCATCACAGAGCCTAAACACATCCTCGTCAAAATCCTGCTGGCGGATATCATCTGGCCTTTCGAGAATCTGCATGAACAAGCCACCGCTAACGTGCCACGCGAGATGGCAGTGCAGAGGCCAGGCACCTGGGTTGTCCTGTACGAACTGGAGCACCATATACGATGGCTCGACAACGCCGCTGACATTGCGTGCGTTCTGCATCTGGTGGACGTCGCGGCGGAGCGTGTTCTCGGGGTTGGTGACGGTGCCGTCCCACTCACCGTAGCCCTCGGCTAGGACGTGGAAGTCGTGGCCGTGGAGATGCATCGGGTGGCCGCCAATCATGCCGTGGTTGACGAGGTGGATGCGGACGTGCTCGGCGCCGGGGAACTGGTACACGTTGGACTCGGCGGGGAAGTTGGTCTCGCCGTTGAAAGCCTTGATGAGAGTGGGGTCGTTGAAGTTACCGCGGTAGGTGCTGTTGTTGAGATACCAGATGAAGTTTGTGCCGTTGGAGCGGAACTCAAAGTCGACGCGCTCGACGTGGTCGGGCTCGGCCAGAGGAATCTTGCACAGCGGGATGCCAAGTTCAATGGGGTCGTTCTTGCACTGCTCGAGCTGTGCTTGGGTGACATCGGAGGTGGACTGTGGGATGGCATCGGTATCCGCGTCCTCGTAGTAAACAGCTGCAAGAGCGTTTGGCGAGATACCGTCGGTGAGTGTGCAGCGGAACCCTTGAGCGAGCTGAGAGCGCATCCAGAAAGTGTCACTGGGGTTTCCAGTTGCCTCGATGATGACATCAGATCGCTGACCGACGGCAAGAGTAACGACGTTGGTGGTGTACGGCTCAATCGGAATAAAGTCAACTGCAATGACCTTCATAACGTGACCATCGATGCTGAAC